CGTTATTCTCCTAACACCACTCTATATGAATTCCCCACCTTCCACTTGAATTTTCTTCGATATTCCAATCTGCATTTTGCCCTTTTATTCAAATGGGTAACCAAAACCAACGCACGATAGTGCATGGTTAATTGTTTAAAAACTGAAAACTGATGTTCGCACTCGGAACAAGAACGGGTGTATTCAATTACATCCCGACGCATTGTTGGCCAGAACACACGATATCGTAATGAATCGAGATTTCGTTGCCGTCCCATGTATGCTCCATCGTGTGCAAGCTTGAAGACCCTTTCGCGAAGACCGGCTGGGATGAATGGCAGTCGCCTAGGTCTCAGTCCATGTTCCATGTCAACTTCAACCACCAAGCTCTCAAATGCAGGCGATCCCAGACCTGAATACTGCCAGGTTGTCTAGGCCAAGGTAGGTAAATTTTCTTGGGGAATCCACAACCGGAGCCTTAACCAAATCCTGACCCGCAAAGCAGCGGGGTTGTGTGAAAACCGCAGTCCATTGAGAGCCGGCGTCCAGTTCATCGGATCAAACGTCCAAAGTGCCCAATATACCTCAATGCCCAATTGAGCCGGTGACCGTTGCCAAAACCGGAAATGTGTGGGTGTTGTTCGTACGCCTCCTCATGGTTGGTTTGGAATCAAGGTATTTGTAAACTCTAGGTGAACTACCAGTGGTTCATCAACCCGGTTATGGCCCTTGATGTTAACTATTCGTTCTCTCACTTTGGTGGGAAAACCCCCCTCGAGAAGTGAGTAGGACTTCCTCAGCAGAAAGTATTTGAGACGCTTGGTCGTATGGGAGCATTTCGAGAGATGCAAGAGAATGGTGACCAACCGCAACCCTAGACACCTACCCCCGACCATACTGAGGATTTCGGCGAAGACTCCAAGTCGGAGTTGTACGCTTTACTCAACTAATAAATCCGGTAAATGAGCTGTAATAGAAAAAAACAACCTTATGTAATACGCATCAGAAAAGGGTATATGAATAAAAACAGAATATGATATATATATATATATAATCAATTCTTCAACTGGGAGTTTCAACCCGTAAGTGAAGGTTCCACGCCACACATTACGTCCCCCACCTGTGACTTGGTCAACCATCAAATCGCGGTAGTAGTGAGCAGTTGTCGTCGACCTCCAAAGTCGTTAAGATCGATCTCGTGGTATCAGATTTAAGTCACCTTATAGTGCTGGTTAATGGTAACTTTTCGGCATATGCAGCCACTTATCAGTCACTCAGGATTTCCAAGCAGCAAATACTTGATACTACTGGTAGATTAGAAATAGTGGCGAGCATTACCAAATGGGTTATAATTTGCGGTAAATTCCCAAATTTCACTTCTCTAGGAGAAGCATCAATTGCCCTACTTAGGAGCATCACACCTCTGTCTCTGACTAACCCAACCAGATCGACGTAGTTGGTGTTGAAATCAGAAGGCGTTTCAATCAATATGAGTCTGTAGTGCTACTTGAGAATAGACGTCTCACAATGTTGCTCACTATTCTGTACCATCTGGTGATGAAAGGATTTGTGCGAAATGGTGCGGATAGAGCTACTTCAGTGATGTGCCGACTACGACCAATCGTGACGAGCTTCTAAACGGTTCCCGTGATTCGCAAGTCAGAATAATTGTGTTTATGGTAGACCTGTATTGGAGTTCCTTGGCACGGGAAAATTACCGACACGCGCCAACGAAAATTAGGCACGAAGGCAACAAAGAACAGCGTGCGCGATAACGTGCAAACGGATCGAAAGCGATAAATTGAAATTCCTTACCTGGAAG